TGATCTTTCAGTCTATATTCTACTTCTAATTTCAATCTTCATTCTCTAGATGCATTGTTCAATGATGATCTTTCAGTCTATATTCTACTTCTAATTTCAACTTCACATGCTCCATCTTCAGTTACCACATGCCCTATATTGAGTTTGTTCAATCGGTGTTCATTCTATGTTGATCAATGGTACCATCTGTTTATTGTATACTATCATTGTTTTCGTTTTGGTGCCATTTATTTCTATTCCATAAGTGTTTTTTTTCATTCACTGCACTCACTAAAACGTGACAAAATTGAGAATAGAATTGGTTCTAATATTTCAGTAAATATTGCATGCAGTGCCGTAGCAACCAGCAGAACACTGATTTGAAGAAATGTTCTAAATACTTACTTTTTTACACAATCCTCTAGTTGCTCTAAGTTTTGTAAATCATTTTTAAGTAGTTTTTCTTCTTGTTCAATAGAACTCAGTTGTTTAATTGTACCTTCTTCATACCACTGGTCTTTCTGTGCTTCCAACTAAATACAAATTATCGTTTTGAGTCATTATCATCATTATGATATTTAGTAACTAAATATGTATCCCACAAAGCAGTACTTGATTTACATACATGTACATATATTCTCTTAAACTTACCCTCCTTTTTCTCACCCTCACTTTCTCCCTCTCAAGCTCAGTTTTCTTAATTTCTTTTTCCAATTCTATCCTACATTTTTCTCTTACTGTTGACAATTTCTGTTTCTTGATTTCAATCTCAGCAATTCTGTCATGGTATACAATATAACTGCTGCTTAGAATATATTACTGTAAACACATTAATTATCCACTGGGTTTTTTACTGTAAACACATTAATTATCCACTGGGTTTTTTACTGTAAACACATTAATTATCCACTGGGTTTTTTACTGTAAACACATTAATTATCCACTGGGTTTTTTACCGTAAACAAATTATCCACTGGGTTTTTTACTGTAAACGCATTAATTATCCACTGGGTTTTAATGATACTATTTTCACTGATAAAATCACAATGGAACTTATTATTAAAACCCAGTAAATATGATCATATATGTCTATCAAAATAATTACCAAGGATACATCAGGTAAGGGTTTGCAACTTTTATAAGCATGTAGTATGATATGTAACAACTCTCACAAGTAGCGAATTCTCATTTTTTTTTTTATGTTTGAAAGCAATTCCATTACATGCAACTCAATTGAACATAGTTTTAACCATAGTCACAGAACACAGTGAGTGATTGGAAATGTTTGTCAGTTATAACCAATAGGATCACAGAACAGTGAGTGATTGGAAATGTTTGTCAGTTATAACCAATAGGATCACAGAACACAGTGAGTGATTGGAAATGTTTGTCAGTTATAACCAATAGGATCACAGAACACAGTGAGTGATTGGAAATGTTTGTCAGTTATAACCAATAGGGTCGCAGAACACAGTGAGTGATTGGAAATGTTTGTGGTTCTAACCAATAGGATCACAGAACACAGTGAGTGATTGGAAATGTTTGTCAGTTATAACCAATAGGATCACAGAACACAGTGAGTGATTGGAAATGTTTGTCAGTTATAACCAATAGGGTCGCAGAACACAGTGAGTGCTTGGAAATGTTTGTGGTTCTAACCAATAGGATCACAGAACAGTGAGTGACTGGAAATATTTGATTACATAAACAGAAATAAGCGAGACTATCGCCATATTTGAAAACACAGATATATATTACATGCTTATTAAATAAACACAGACACAAAAAAAATAGTCTTGAGTTGAACACAAATCATTTCATTGACAGATTCATTAATTTACATTGGCATTTCCAGAAATATAAATTCTTTTTTGAGTTTTTGTGATTTTGTGATTTTTTTCAATTCGCTTGAAATACTGTAAAACATGTCTTTTTAGCTAGCTCGTTATTTTAGCTAATTTTGCTAATCCGCAATTTTGCTAAATTAAGATGTCGCTAATATAATGTCGAGTATGTCGCTAATATAATGTCGAGTATATTCTCACAGTAAGGTGATTGGAATTTTAGCTAAATTAAGATTCAGTTAATTCATGTATTGAGTCAAATTCTCTAAAATGGCATGTAGCTATTTCAAAGTGTTTTACAGTATATCACACCCTTGCATACCCTAATTTTATAAATCCTTGATATTATATTCTCACACAAACAATGGTCATATAATGAGAACTAGTGAAATGATGTCACAACAACATGACCACATTGTATCAGAACTAGTGAAATGTCACAACGACATGACCACATTGTATCAGAACTAGTGAAATGATGTAACAACGACATGACCTTACTTTCTTTGTTTTCCTTCTATACTGTTTGAAGACACTTTAGGAGGCAGTAGTGATAATACAGGTAACGAACCGTTAATTTGATTACCTACAAAACAAGGCATGTGTCATAATTGTCAACAATTTAAATGGTAAATTAGATTTTTATTTAGGAGTAGAGTAGGGAATTGCAGGTTAATGTGGAAAAATATGGAAAGAACATAACAATACTCACATATTTATTTCTAAAATATCGTATAAATAAACTTGCCAGAAAAAAATAATAGATTCTATAAATTAACAAGCATGGTATAATAACTGAAAGCCCAGGACTAGTGTGAGTGTAGGAATGTTCAATACCTGAATTTTTCTGATGGGTGCCAAGTCATGATGCATGTTAGAACAATACAGCAACCGGTGCAAAGCTGGTCACCCAAGTGAACTGGCGACTGGAGTTGAAGAGTGTCAAAATCTACCTCTATTACTAGGTTTCCTTTTTTGTTCGACTTCAGGATTTGATTTTAAACATTGTTTGGCTGAGTGGTAGGTGAATCTACAACCCAGATTTCAGGGTCGCTCAAATGATGGGCCCTCCTCCTCAGTCAAAATCTTGAGTAGCAATCTTGTGAAAACTTGCAGTCATACTTTAAATATCAGCCATGACATCAATTGTTAATTGGTCTACAACACCTGTACATTCATCACCCAATACTCGACCAATGACTGGAAAGTCCAG